CCCCGATCCTGGCCGCGTTAACGCTCACTGGTCCAACCTGCATTGTTGCGTTTGCTGTGACTGTTCTTGTTTGGCCAGCATGTACGCCGAAAAGGCACAACTCACGGCGATGTCTTGCAATGCATTTTTCGATGGCTCTATGGCTTGTGCAGTGGCACTCGCAGAAAGCGCCAACTGCGCGAACGATGGCCCACAAAAGTGTTCAACTGAAGCGGCTGTGCGTTTTTCACAGCAGCTCCTCGCGGACGCAGCTCTGCACCGGAATTCGCCCCGCAGCTCTGCGCTTGCTTTTGAAAAGCTCCGTCTGCGTCCCGGCGACCCTTTCAACTGGTGTGGTGGTTTGCTGCCCCTGCTGGCGTGCTAGTGACTAGTGCTGGCTGCTGGTCTGGTAGTGATTTGCTGTTGCCGCAACTGCTCCTAGACTACTAGACTGCTTCTGCTACCCATCCCTCGTTGCTTACCAACAAGATCCCACAAGTTTCCTTCTCTGCTTGGAATGCCGCAAAGAGTGCGTCGGGGCGTCCTAAGTTGTCAATGCACACAGCGAACAAGTGGCTTGACAAGCACATATCCTTTCTGGTCACTGTCAGTGCCGCAAAAACACTCCAGGGGTCTATGGCCGACGCAGGAGGAAGTACCTCAGGAACAGTCCACATGTAAGGTCATGTGGATCTTTGCGATGCACATGCATTTACGGCATTTTGTAAAGAACCACGGCTGCCCCCGGTAGGTCTTGGTAGATCTATGCGTCTCGGCGTCTCCTGATGACATGTGGAACATGCGCAACCACCCAAAACTCACTCCCAGGATCAGCTCCTCTTTCCCGGTCGAGCAGCTGGGCGCTCGGAAGACGGTGCTGTTGACGCGGGGCACGCAGAACTACACCCTGGCTGTGGTGCTTTTGGTGAGTCACTTGGCCCCAGAAGACCAGAGGAGCTGGAAGAGACAAGGAACTTGAGACGAACACATGGATCATGTGGCACCCCAAGTTCAACACTAGTTGGTAGAGGAAAGACAAGCATCCATCCAACAAACAGGTCACATCACAAGGCAACAACAAAGACACTGTCCCAAGGGTTGAGTCTGCCCGTCATCCACACCTTTGGATCCAAATCATTGCGTTCAAAAAACAAACAAAAAACACTTTGCCCCACTGTAGACGTTTCCAAATCCACCCTCCTGCAACAAATTCAAGTTTTGAAGCGCCATCAGTAGCAGTTTTCTTGACAGTTTTCCCGACCAACGACTTGAAGGACCCCGACCCCGTGGCCTTGTCCCATGCACAGAAGCACAGGTGGAGGCCTTTGCTTCGTTTTAGCCTCCGTCGTTTGGGCCATCCACCTCTTCTGCGCGCGGCCACCCGGGTCCGCCCGCCGGGGCTGGCCGCGCCCGTTCCACTGGCCCAACACCGTTACGACGCTGTCGGACAGCGAGTCTTCAGAGTCAGCGTGATCGTGATGAAAAATTGGATGGACGGGGATCAAGCACGAATAAGAAAATACGTGTTGTTCAATTAAGATCATTAAGGCAAAGTCAATGGCAGACCCTACTTCTATGATTGTCCTATCCAAGAATTGGTGAAATTGCAATCACTGAGCAACATACAGACAGTGACAATTCGTTGTACTTGGTTCCCGATCTTGTAGGAATCAATAATGATTTTCCAAAATTGGTTTGGCCACTTCCTAGCACATCAGTCTACGTGAGTCCACGACAAATCGGCGGCCAAAGCGCCGCTCATCGCGGTTAGGGAAAATGGGAGACCTGATCAGAGCGATGATGAGAGATTATGAAAGCCCGGGCATTTAGCTACAAGGTTTGGTCAGGTTGCACTTCTGAAGTGCAAATTATAAGTGTATGTATTTTCTTCGAATGGGGATTTTGTTGATATAGATTCTTCAGGCGCGCTGTTCTAAATTCAATCTTGGGGAGTTTGCAGGCTTTGGTGGAAGAGTGTCGTTTTATATTTACTTTCTTTTGTCCAGAATCAAGGAAGGTGCAACAGACGTTGAAACGGAACCTTTTGGGGGGGGGGGGCACTGATGTCAAGAATAAGTTGATCAAGTTGCGGTCGCTGTTCTTCTTTTCTGCACCCTAGTCTCAATTCCCAGTGGTGGTGAACAGCCACGGGGCACCAACAGGTCGGTCGTTTGAGACCCCACGAGAAAGGTGAGCCTCGAGTTTGGCACACTGATGTGCTACTTCTTGGTGTTCATCGTTTCCGATAGATCCTGGTAGATTGATGTGTAGAGCCACCTAGTTTGGAGGCATTGTTTGAAGGGGCATTTGGAGGAAGAGGATAGACCGAATGAATCAGAGCTTCTCGTGCTGCCAACGCATGTGCATCGAACGCCGCAAGAGCAGTTCCCTTGGCTGGTGTCTTCTGCGTTGGTCATATTCACAAACTCATCCGCCTCGTCCTCCAAGTAGCGTTGTTGGGATCCCAAACCGTAAAGTATTCAATATGTTTAAATATGATTGAATATGTTTTGATATGTTTTGGTGTTTTCCGAGAACTCGCGCTTGGGGGAGCAGTGTTTGAAGCTTCATCCTTCGCATGTCAGCCTCAAAGCAAGGGACTGCATGGTCCAGCTTTATATTCGTTTTGCTTTGGCTAAGAGAAATCAGCACATTCTGAATGAGACAAAAAAGTGGCACCGCATTAGTGCCTGATGATGAGAACTGATGCCTCAAGGCGTCAAGCTTTGGGAATTCTTGGGGTATCGAAGGGTCAAAGACATGGGAAGATAGGGACTCGGTACTTCATCGAGAGATGTGGCGTGCAATCCTCCTGCTTTTTCCGCTGCTGGCCAGTGCAGATGAGGAGCGATGAACGATTGGAGTCATCGAGAAGAAACGGCATGTTTGTTTAACAAAACCATTAGCTTAATTTAGGTGGGATTGGATCTTTCCACTCAAAAGCGTAGAGGTGAAACCTTTGGTCCACCGATTTTCCAACAATGGCTCGCGCATTTGGATTGGAATTGGGGAACTGGGAACCAGGGTCCATCCTCAGGGTCCATCCTCACCGGTGAGAGTCCTCGCTCCATGGAGCGAACTTCACCATTGGAGCCTCCAACCAGCTGCCGGTGAATCGGCGTCCGAAGCCCCACGATGGGCACGGCTGGATGGCACGACACTTAAGTGCCACGACCGTTGAGATACAGCACGGAGTTGATTCATGAGGAGAGATCAAATCTTAATTGGAGAGTCACACAAGTTGGGCTCCTGATATGTCACACATTTGATGGGCTCAGCATGATGCATCAGTGTTTCATTTAGGGTTGCACGAATGGGTTGATCACGCCATCGCCCGATTCGTGACCGTCGGGATGGCGACCTCCCTCCATCCAATCGCCTCGTTGCGGCAGGATGTGGCAACCACTGTGAATCCCTACAAGGCACAACTGGGAACTTGGCACAGCAGTTCCCCTCAGATCCAGGGGTCCGGGTGATTTGGGTAGGTTTCAGGTGGTGTGGACAAGTCCCACCAATGGGAGAATTGGCTGAAAAAGAGAGGCAGAATGTTCGAAAGGTGTTGGCTCCCTGGTTCCAGTCGACACTTTTGAGCACTTGTGACTTGTGGACAAAGCATTTAAAGAATCTGGTGCTTGACCTCAACATCCTCTCAGTGAGGTTGGTATATAAGCCCAGCCCCTGGCCATTTTGATTGACTATCGATAAGCTTACTCATGAGGGCGGTAGAGCTTTAGACCTAAGTCAGGGGAGAGCGGATTAATCCTCTCCTTTTTGAACAAGCAGTGATTTGACATAGTCAAAAAGAATTTGATAATTTGGCTTTCAGGTATAGGGCTGTCATGCTGTGACAATGTTTCCCCACTAGAACCACAGAAGGCTTTTCCTTTGGTGTTCAAGTTCCAAAATCATTTGGCCCTTGTTGCGCCAGGGAATTTGATCAATTGCTTTCTGACCCTTAAGCGCACCCCTGACTAGCAGTAGTTTAGGGAGATGTCAATATGTTGTTTCTATTCTGTCGCTGACATCATCCAAACTGATTCACCCCACGAAACGTTGTTTTACGGTGCTTGCCGCAAATCCACCAGGCCCCTCCTACTATTGCGCCTGGCATTGGCCTGAACGGCGACTTGGCAGACTCACGGTGTTAAGCTCGTGCATACGGCCGCCATGTAGCAAGATGCTTAGAAAGGTTCGTCAACATTTGAGATCCCTTGGGTTTTCGAGTTGTGTAAGAAAATGAGGAGAGTAGACCCGCAATATGGGTTGCAATGCCTGAATGTTATTTCATTATCATAACATATAATGCGATATTAAATGCATGACCATGACAGCAGATATAATATGTTGTGTTTATTTACGTGGCCTGGCTCGCAGACAAATCTTCAAAGCAGCACAGTAAAAAACTGGAATCCAGCACTTGAACTCTCCCACAAGTGTTTCTGGAGCAAGAGGTACCAGAAGCACCCGTGGTGGGCTCCCAAAACCACCTGTTGAAGCTTCCTGGCATTTATTCAGCTGATCAGATTAGTGTTTTCCGTTTAGAACATGTGAGGAATACTGGGCGTTCAGTGAGGACAGCAGGGAAATATGCTTCTTCCAGATTCCAATTTGGTGGGGATTCCTGTTCTTGGTGTTTTGCCTCAGGGCTTCTTAGGTATTATGATTACAGGTGCTTGGTTGGACAGTTAGTGTCCCTTTTTCGCTTGGCCTTGGCCTAGCACGGAAAACAGCCGATGAGGCCAACCAGTACCGGCAATGTTGCAAGATCCCTACAAGGCATTGCTGGGTCAGCGTTGGGAGATGGCCATGCTGGGTTTTCAGATGTTTTCAGCTATCAACCATCTCGTTGCTTTCTCAGCCTGATGGTCTGTGACTTGCCCCTGAAGAGGAACCCTTTCAGTCGTTGGGTGTGGAGGGCGCAAGAAGACACACACACCGGGAAGCTCAAGTATAGCAAACATGGTGTTAGCAGGAGGAATTGCAGGGACTATCACAAGCTCCCTCTTGGAAGGAAAACGCTGGCAACTAGGCTTAGATCAGCCCACTATATTTGTATATTTATATACCACATCCAGTTGTAGTCATTTGTTCATGGAAGAACCCTTGCACCACTTGACTCAGACATGCCCCTTGTTCATCACCTTTGGAAGCAACGATCTTCCGTCTTTCGGGGTCATGATGAAGACTGTTCCCCTTAGGATGGCAAATCCTGACGAATGGGACAAAGGAAAGGGCGGCCGACATGGAAGAGGAGGCAGATGATGCTCCATTTCGTTCAATTAGTGATGCCCACGATGCGTAGACACGGCATAGAGACAATTGAGCGATCCATGATGATTCATATCTCAAACTTTGGTTTCATCGATCTATGAAGCAATTCATTGACGTCCTGGGATGCACTGCCATCATCCGTCAGAAACTGGAGATTTGGATCCCTCATCGTCTACAGGTTCTGGCGACGGGCCAGGTGAAACAACAACAACCTTCGCAACCGGAGCCTTTTAATTCGCACAGGTTCTCACCCAGACAGATGGCTCTCACCCTGGTTCTTGATTCAATCTCGGTGAAATCTTCGACGCACCAATGCCATCAGTAGACTCTTCCCCAAACTAAAGATCCCCCCCTTGTTGTGCACCTGGTGATGTGTTTCTTTGTCACCGTCTTCGCTGCACGGTTTGGCACAGAACCCCTTTGCCGGCTTCAACAGCTCCTCCTTTTCTCAGTTCGGTACCTGGGGCTGCAAACATGAGCGAAATTGGATGAACTTGGGCGTTGGACTCAAAATCATTCAATATCTTTTGCCTTGTCAGGGGGTGGCACCTCAAACTGATGGTGTCAAAAAACGTCGAAATGCCACCTTTCTTGGGCTGGGGTGGGCCTTTGGATGGAATGGGTGCTGTTACCTGGATCATGTTCAAATCCGACTTGACAGACTCTACAAATCCGAAACGATCAGAAAAGGAAGTCCTCAAGTAGCCTACTGTAGAAGGAGAGAGCAACTTCAGAGACTACCCGGGTCACGGCTGAAGCACAACACATGCATATTGAGGTACATGTGAGTGTCTATGCATGATATATATATGGATATATATATATATACTTATGTTCTGGGCAACCGATCCACCTTGTGGGGCCTAACTGTACCCAAGCGAGCACGAAGGTCACCGCCAGCAAAGTGCTGTTGCGTATTTTTGCTGACATGGATTCCTTTTGGATGGGTTCTGTCTTTGATGGACCAGAGTCTGAAGGACGCGTGCAAGCTAACAAGGCACTCGGAGGAAGACAATCTTCCCATGAGTCGACTATTGAAGACTCGGTGCAGCACCAGTTCCAGCACCAGGCTATGAATGCCAGGAGCCCAAATAGGGCTCGTTTGAGCATCACCCCACAGAAGCCCAGTTCTGTGTTTTTTGTATCATGGCCTTCACGTCTAGACTAGGCTTCTGAGGTTCGCCTGCTGTTTGTTTGTGAGACGTTCTTTTTGTTGTGATAGACTTTTTACTCCATCTGATAGCACTCCACCCTG